AATGAAATGAATTGTTTTGATATTTCGACTTGAGTGCGGCGAGACGGTTTACGTGGTGGAGTGTGGTTACGCAAGTACAATTCTAATGATTGAAAACGCTTAGGTCAGAAAATCAGCGCATTTATGTTGTTAGTAACGATACTGTCAATGCGATTATCCCCTTAAAATAGGATTACTGGACGGAGAAAATTACGATTCTTTTTGTTTGTGTCAGCAGATTCTGCTTACTTATTCTCGTCCACAATAATTTAAAGAAAAGGACTGGGGCATTTCCTTTCATCATTCTTTATTGAAAACCCACACCGTTTTATATACAGAACACGTTCATAAACAATTATTCGACAGGAATACGTCATGAACAACAAACAGTAGAGATCAATGCATACTCAGAAGCGCGTATCGATATTCTTAACAATTATATTATTTCGGAACAAAATGATCCACCGCTTCTATCAGAAAATCATATTTTCGAACAACTGATTTTCAAAATTCTCCTCACTATTGAATTTTTGGAATGTATAACTTCTTCACTATCATCAGTACCACAACAACAATTGAAAAAAATCAGCACGCCCGGAGGCATATGTTGGAATCTTGGAGAATATTAAGGCAATTTCTCAAGCAGGCGAAAGAATTTGTCAATGAAACACAATAAAGCTGGAAANTGAAAGTTCTACATACACGTTTAACACACATGTCTCTGTCATTGAATATTGATCAACATCACATTTTTGGTCTCGCTGCAAATCATTGTCAATGATGTTTCAAACTGAATAATCGGAAACTCCAAGATAATAATTCATCTCCAACTCCATTTTAAGTAGTGAATCCAAATAATTTAACGACCACATCACGCTCACGACTATCCACTGCAGGTGCACATGAGTAGGCCAGCAGATAGGCATTTGGGTGCCACGCACATTGGTATGTGTCTGCGTTCACTCGTAGTTCGTGGACCCTTAAAAGAATATTTTGATCCGTTTCGATAGTATATTTCGAGAATTTGCTTACTAAATACTAGTGAGGAACAACAGCCTACACAGATGAATTAGAGGATTAAAAAATTTTCGAGCTTATGGGATCTTTCCCTTGCTAACTCCCAGCAAATTTCCTCGCTAACGCTTTCATATTTTTTCTATTGTAATTGGCCGACTGAAATTGTGTAAAACCTCTCGAAAATTGGCATACCCCAAAATAAACTCGTTTCTGAAACTATTGGATATCCGTATAACTTGAAGAAAATGAACAAATTTCTCCTCCAACGGAACGAAATGAAACAAACCTTGCCCCAGTCTCAGTCCATGCGATATCAATGGAATGATCTTCGCTTGCAGTTGCGATCAACCGGCTATCTGCACTAAACGATACTGACCGTAGGGGATAATCTAACCTGAAATTCATTTCACTAAACATCGCTAATTGCTCGGTCCAATCAACCATCATTATATACCCAATAATTTTTACCTCTGTTTTAATTCATAAGCATTTGAAAGTTCGCATCTAGTACCATTATATATTACGCAGCTATGAATGTAGAGAATGCTTCTCATTACATTTCACAAAAAAACTCTAATCTTTACTCACTGAGGACATTCGAATCAAAATAATGAGAAAAAGATGGGTTCATGACACTTCCCTGTCCTAAACTCCTCAAGAATGAGACAAATAAATGCAGTCAGGAGGTACAAACCTTCCCAACGCACGTTCACATATCATTTCTCGTGTATTCCAAATTGAACATAGCGCATCTGAAGCACCAACAGCAAAATGTTCACCATCATTTGAAACTGCCATACATGTGCACGTAGATTGCGAAGAATGCGCTTGAATAGTACGTATATGAGTAAATTCGGGCATCCTGCAGCAAAATAACTCATAATCGCAACATTTGTGGTAGCAATAGAAATAATAATACTCCTAATGACAGTGATAATAATACGAGTAGTGAAAACAACAATAAAAATAATAACTTTTAAAGATTTCGATTCCTAGCTATATCAGCAGGTACCCAGATAATCCGCCCAAAGACGTTTTGCCTAAGGACAGTTTGCCTAACGGACGGTTTTTTAATAGACATTTTGCCTACTAGGCAAACTGTCTTTAGGCAAAGCGTTTTTAGGCAAATTGTCCGGTCACGATATCAGCATAGACGAGGCGTTTCTTGCTCTCCTCAAAAAAATTAGGGCACTCAGTTAACAAATTTCTCAAAAAACCTTCCCTCCTAATACTCTGACAGATTTTTATAATCAAGGTGCAATATCTCTGAAGGCAATATTCCTAACAGATGATTGCAAACACTTACTTAAAAATACTCAGCTGTCCTCCACCCATCGCCACAAAAAGATATTGTCCACTAGGATGGAACGCGAATTCATTCGCTTCCTGTTTCATCGGTTCCACTTTCAACGTTTTATATGTTCGGCCATCAACCATATTGATCGCATCTTCTCGATCCCCATACAACAAATAAGTACCACATGGAGACCAAGCAACGTTTAAATTTGGGGCTGACAACATTCAATGATTTATTTTGAGTAGTGACACATACATGACAAGTTTTTATGAAAGAGAAGTAAACAATTCCTGATGCTCTGAAGACCCCAGAAAACGAAAGAANTAATTAAGATACCTCTGGTAGGTAATCTGGTGTGTGTTCTTGTTTGCCGAACATCCCAAATACGAATGGTTCGATCTGAACTGGCCGACGCAAACAAGTGCGCATTATTCGGATGGAATGCTACCTGGTCCACTTGCTCGTTATGACCAAATCCATGGAAAACATCTTTCTAAAAAGGACCATATAATGAATAAAACTTGTTCCAAGTCATTAAGATATTGAAATTAAGAAGTATCATTGGTTGTCACTGTTGACGAAGGAAAACTCAAAATTTATTAGGAAGAAACAATTAATTTACGGTACCGTTCGATATGAAGAATCGATAGTGCAAACAGCGACACTTTTCTCAGCACCACACGCCAGTCTTGTACCATCACAATTCCACGATAACGTTAGTGGTCGAGGAACCTAACACAATATACACACAATTAACAGTCTAAGAAATGACTCAATGGAAATATCGCTGCGACTTAAAAAATCCATCTGACACAATACTGCTTTACCATAAGATTATGACTGCTACAATGAGAGATATTTGAAAATCAAAGAGATACAAGACAACGCAGAAACCATGTCAGTATGAACCATAAATAGCAGAAAAAATAATTCTTACATGAAGTCAGACTTCATTTTCGAAAACTACCAAAATAAGTAGAACAAATGAAAAAATCACCTGCATGTCGTAAATTTTAATCCGATCATTTTTCTTGAAATGCTCTACAGCTTCATCAAACAACTGTAGTTTGCCTATTCCATTCATAGCGCTACGCCTTGCCGAAGAAGTTGAAGATTCTGTTGCAGGACCAGCGGTCATTCCTCTCGATGAGTAACAGTAATATTGAGAAGACCTTAAATACTCAGGCGAATGTGCTTTTATTGCGATCACATTCATTCCTTGGTTCGAAATCATTCACAAAACAATTGTTTCAAATCCATTCTAAAGACTTAAATTAAGATTAACGGAGGTGAGCGATTAATATTGGTTTATACCCTGACCATCTTTCACGAACAAGCTCACTGCAAGATCATCCACTAGGGGTAATCGACAAATACGTCCGCGACAAGTCTAAACTGCGACAAAAATCACCTACCTACTCAATGATGAGGCACGCGCAAATTGTCGGGTTGGCACCTTGTCGCGGATCAAGTTGTCGTGGACCCTCCACAAGGATGGAAACGCAAAAATTTAAGTGAGGAATAAAGTAACTGCCAAAATATGGTAATCGAGCAGCGTAGGTCAAAGACAAAAGAGGAGTGACCTAACACACATATAATGTGCATCAGCCAATACATTGATAAAGACGTTTTGCCACAGCACACTACGCATATTTACAACTGCTTTTTCGAACACGAAGAAGTTTTCAGTTGAAATTAATTCAAACCAACAGTAAGTTAATTAATTAATTAGTTAATTCAACCTAACAATTCAAATAGCCATGCCCGCAGCTATTCGTTGAAGTGACCTGTAACAAACGAAATCACCAGATATCATATATCTAATGAGCCTGACAAATCCGTGCAGAAACAATCTTGTTACCGTGCAAACTTGAGGGCACCGTTAGTTTGAATTTGACGATCCTGATATTATTACCCCGTTGTATACGTTGATCAATGTGGATAGAATGCTATGGAATAAGCGGCTCAAGCACATGAGATGGATTCACATGATCATCGACATTACTTGTAGCAAACGAAATCGCCCAACAGCGTATATACTTTTCTGAAAGCAGAGAATCTTAAGAATCCGATGGTGTGGAAAAATAATCATGTTACCAGGCAAACCTGAGGGCACCGCTAGTTTGAATAACCTGATCTTGATTTCACTACTTCCTTGTATGCATTCATCAATACAGATATAATGTAATAGAATAAGCCTCCCACCTACGTGAGTTGACTTCACAAAGTCATCGAAATTACTCACAGTATACAAAATCGCCTGACAGCATACATACTTTTCTGAAACTAGAGAATCTGAACATTCCGATAGTGCGGAGAATCAATTATGTTAGCGTGCAAACCTGAGGGCACCTTTAGTTTGACTATAGTAATTCTGACAAATAGTTCAGTCGCTCATTCCAATACCCTGTATGTGAACTTGTCCGTAAAGAGAACGAAATTTTATGGAAAGAACGAAATTTAGGAAACTAAATTGAAGTTTATATCGAAACGGTTGGCCGAAGCATTCTCACAGCTGAACTCAATGCTTCAAGAAAAGGGATGACAGTACCGGAGGATTTATGAAAATCAATAAATAAATTCAGAATGATCTCAATGCTGGCTTAAAATTTATCGAAGTAAGAGGGACAAAGCATACTTTGCAAATTCCTGATGTTATATATGCACTATCATTAATATTATATTGTTCTTCTGTTGTTCGAATTTAGTTAGAAGCATCTGATGTTGATATGAATGTATTATTTTTAACCAGCAGTCACCAGCAAGACACGATTGTTCAGGTCTTTATAAAGAAGTATGAATATTTTGGTGTAATTTATAATTTTGGCCAGACTCACGACCGAATCTGACTAACAACGGAGCTTTCGGTGTCAGTTACCGTCGTGAGTCGGTTTTGACTCGCATATCTCTTATCTAAAATGAAAAGTTCTGTCTGAATTTAAAGTTTTCTTTTTGAACGTTCTGCGGAATTTCTCCAATATGTTGTCTCGCTAAAGCGGCCAAAAACGTCGACAAAATCAAACGTGGTGGCTACTAGGGAAAAGTATGGTACAACCGGGAAAAGTATGGTACAACCGAAATTCTGACGTCGAAACAATGATATAAACTTCTTAGAGCATGAAAAGCTTTATCACAGATCGGTTTCTTTTTGAAAATTTTGCCCAACTATTTTCAGAAATAATCTGAGTTCGTCATTTATTGTCCGAAGCCAAACTGTTTAAAGTATTCTCAGAATTCAGAGTATTTGAGTTCATCGAAAATACTGATGCTGGCAGTTACGATGCGAAATCTTTGATATTTTGCAAATCTTGGTGGAGATAACTTGAGGACAGATGTTTTAAGCTCTTCAAGAGCTCTGGCAGATTTTATTCCTTCAGTTCGAAATTTTAGCACGATTCAATTTCTCATTACAGAAGTGCTCCACTCGATCGTTGCAGCTTTTTTAAGATTTATTTCCAGCTCCGTAAATCTGAGAAGACACCAATCTCAAACGTGCAATTACCCATAACATTTGCAATCAGACCACAATCAGGATCGGCAATATTTGTACAGGGGATTTAGCATAGTATGATCTTGGTTATCTACCTTTCACGCTGCATCGGTCCTCACCGAAAAATTTTTCCTCCTTCATTGGATGAAAACAAGAAAACAGTAAAATGAAAGTCTGTTTAGAGCACTTGGAATTCCCAAACCATCTCCAACTGGGACCTCTTAAAAATGACAATACCTCTTGCAGAAAACTAATGAATTTTATTGTCGTGAATTGCACGCGCATTTCAAATCGCTTTTATTCAATTATCTCAAACTTGGGTAACTGAACCTTCACATTCAGTGAGAAAATAAAACAGTTCAAATTCAACGACAAATATATCAGTCATATTTTTCTTTTTCCTCATGCGCACATCACATCATAAACAACTTCCAAAATATTCCAACACTGTGAATATCATGACTCATGTGTTCTATTGAGTCGCATATTGAATATAATGATGATATTTTCAATGCTGACATCAGTCGCGATCATAACTTTCATAATATCATTGATAAGTATCATTTTTATTCAAAAGCTAATCGAGTTGGAAAGATGATACTGACAGTGGTTTCAATAATGAATATGACAAAGCAACTAAGAAAATACGAGTAAGTATAACGATCGAAAGCACCTTGCCGGATCCCACTCATACGTTACTGACAACAAATTGTGGAAAGAACTGCTAAATTTCATTCTACTGACGATTTTTCACTCTACTCCGTCCGTTACCGTTGTGCATATTATGCACATCTTATCAGTATTAATACAACGTCATTCTTTAGTCTTATTATCGGATAATCTTTAAAAATTCAACAAAAATTCAACAAACATCTGTTCAACTAATTTTAGCTAGGCGCCTTTAAGTTATTTTATTGTTTNAACGATCGACCTGCGTTCTTATCATACCACTCCTCAGCTTTATATCTCAATGTTCATTGTCATCAAATTTATATTCTACACAAAAGACGCCACGGAATTCAATTCGTCTTTCTAGGATTTGCTGTTCGCTGTTATCAGATAAATTTCCCATAATCCTATTTTATGTTCGTATGGAATTATTCCACGAAGTTAACGATTGTACGACATATTTATGTGGACACCGGTTAAGTTTTCTGATGGTGGCTCTCTCGGAAGATGCTTCGCTATCGATACGCCTTCAATCAGTCTTGCCCTTGATTGTCATAAGCGATTCCACGACCGTTTCACACAAATCTGCCATCCAAATTTTGGAAAACGGCAAATTTTACACTGAAGTTTTCACAATGATGAACGCGCTGTGATTGCGTAGTGAAATCAGTTCAATAAATTCAATAGATTCAGCCAAAAATACTCCTTCCAATGCTTCAGATATCATTCGTTTCTGCGTTTTTGCTTAGCAAGACATCAATATTCGACCGAAATTTTAGAGCTCTTGGAAAATCCAACCAAGAAAGCAGAATTGAATAAGAAATGAACATGGATCATTCGATGAGCATGGATCATTCGATGAGCATGGATCATCATATGTGGATGTGGTTTCACACAACAGTCGATGATACAGTTCTGTTTGAATTTTGGGTGGTCAACAATGCTTGGAGTAAGTTGCATTTCAAGATCTGCATCGCATTTCAGCCCACTCTAGTTTGGATATGATTTATGACGATTATGATGATTGGATATGAGTTTGGGAGTCAAACAAGCAAATTTCACGACAAATATTTCTTCACTACGAAATATGGAAAAATTGATTGCCATTCTTATTCCTCCGTTACAAGATATTGACGACGAAAAATGTTCCAGAGATGTTTGTCAGTTGTTTGATAATATTCTGTCTTGGTATACTGCTTGAAGCATTGAAATTCATCCGATATAAAATTGACATCAAACCATCATGCAATCGTCAGCAACAACGAACCAAGTATGATTCGATTATTTCGTGTAATCAAAAGTACGCTTACTTGACTCTTGATTCATTAATACTGCTAAGCAGTATTGAATAAGGACTTATGTAGTGATCGATTCTATCAATTAATCGAACAATTCGTAGATCTTTGATCATAGAGAGAGAGCTTATCCGGAAGTACTTTTGCAATTATTGGGAACAAAATGGGCTTCTGATTGCTTTTTGATGTAAAAGCGGAGACAGGATTGTGTTTATCGCACCCAAATTTTTTGATTGCTTTTGATTATGATTCCATCCATATCATATTCATCCATTCATTTTCTTATGCAGCTTCTTCTGTTCGCGTTTGAATAATTCTTTCATTCACGAATCACTTTCAAGAGCTGAAATTTTAATGGCTCAACTCGAAAATTGCTTTTAATGAAAAGAGCTAATAAAGCTTAATTGCAGTTATGGATCGGCGTTATTCTCTGGAAAGCATGTGATTG